CTATTAATCTCATCCCCTTGGCATGAGCTAGTGAGCTGCGCTTATATTATAATGACAGTTAAGTAAAATAGAAAATAAAATGTGCATAAACTAAAATGTGATAACGTCTTCGGCGCTGACCCATGAAGAATAGAATTTACAACAAAAATGATTTCTGAATAACGATTTAATGTACCAATAATTTACATGGATGACGGGCATGTCTGAATTGCAAGGCCGAAGAGCAGAGAGCGTGCTGGAATGTTTCGTCAAGCGCCGCTAAGGGTTTCGCCGTTCAAACTTCAAACATACCTAACCTTGCATGAAAGCCTGAGTTGGCGTGTGTTGCACTGGAGAAATTGGGCGCCATCTATCCATGTTCAACGTTCATGGTTACCCATAGCTGTGTGGAAATCCTGATGTTGGGCACTCTGGTGCGAAACAAAGCGAATGTGATGTTTATGGATGGGATGATAATGTTGCAGATATATTATCATTCCCCTCAAATGAAAGAAAATGATTCAAATGAGCAGACTGCAAAATGTTGCAATGGGATGACCGTTCTAAATGAGGCCCTGCGAATTTTAGTGTGATTTTTTTTTAAAAATTTCATTTCAAGTTGTGTGATGTTTCAGTACACAGTAGCTACGTCTTGCATTGTGTATATTCAAACACATACTTGACAGGTCACGCATTGTACACAGTGCAGTAAAAAAAAAAAAACGCTCCCATCTCCATTCCCCTATTTGCTCCCTTTGCCCCCACGAGACAGGTATCTCGCTAGTTCAGGGTCAGACATAGGGTCACGGTCCAGGCCCTGGGCAATAAACTGTGCCCGCATTTCCTGATAGAGCTCGCGATACTTTTTCAGAAGGTCTGTCGACCTAGGAAGCTGCTCCGTCTCTATCATCAGAGAAGGGGTTTCGGTATCTGTTAGGATCGTGGCGAGGTCGTTCACAGCAATATCGGAGCCTTTGTCGTCATGCGTATCGAGTAAGCATTCGTGGTCGTTCCTGTTTCTCGATTCACACGAGTTTTCACTGCCCCCAGCTTGCCAATTGGTGTCGTCCTTGTCGTTGGGTTCGATGCTGCTTCCAGTTGTGTGGGCTGCTCCCATGAGAAGTGACGTGGCGTTACCACGGAGCACGGCAAGCGACACTCGCTGAAAGAGGTACTCTGTAGCCCTCCTGTCGCCGCTTTCACGTGCTATTCGCCGACCTACGTCCTTCAAGAACTGGACAGTGGACTGTCCCAGTGAGCCACTCGTTTCGACGGCGATGGGCTGGAACTTGAAACGCCTTTCCAGCGCTCCATAGCGGCGCCTCTTCCGGCTTTCGGCGGCTTCTGCTGCAGCTCCTGCATGGACCGCCGATTTACCGATGATGTAGCTGGCGTATGTATCGACGCAGGTGCTATCCCATATAAGGCACTTGCCTTCGGTGAAGGGGAAGGTGGTCATCCCATCCGGGCGCCGGCCGTCGCCGCGATCAAGGCCTGTTGGTTCCAGCACTGATGGCATGCCTGCGCTGTGCAGGGCGCGTTTTATGACATCATTCAGCGCGGAGTGTCGCGGCAGACGGCCCGCACTCAGTTGGCAAGACAGCGAGTGCAGCCCCAGGGTGTCGACGGTGGATCCGCACCGGCAGCGGTGAGGAGCACATACCGGAGCGCCGACTCGAAGAGCAACAGCTACTCTGAGAGTTTCATGGTCGAGAAGTGTTCCGAGACTGGGCACAGGCAGTGCGTTCAGCCATGCACCGGAGTGCGGCTGCGCTGCTGCGTGAAGTCGGGCACGGTGTCTGTCATCGGGACTAGCCTCGAGCAGCTTCGCAGCTTCAGCGGCTGCCGCGGTTAGATCCCAAACGCGCTGCCGTCCCTGTTCGGAGGCGTCCGGGAGCTCGAGCCCAGTCTCCACTTTCCACCGTTGGTGCAACGATGTCTCGAGCCGATCGATGCTCTCTGCCATGCTGGGGATGATAGAACCCTTGCCGTCTTGCATTCAACCGAATGGTTAAAAACAAAACTGAGCTGCGACATTTGAGGTATGTTGTTGTTAAGGACCGTTCTTTTAATTAACTATTAATGATAGTAGTTTTGACTTTCACTTTTGGCTTGAATAAGTAACTATGCATGGTCACTATTATACAGAACGTACACTCGTATATCTGCAGTATGTATGAATCAACGGTAAAATGATGTATTGAGTTAATCAATAATTGAGCGTTTATATGATAAGATTGTAAGCAAACTTATTCAAACTAAACATCCACCTAAACATGCATATTTTGATACATTTAACAGTGCAAAGCAGCGAAATTACTTGAGGGCCTGAGGCCTAATCAGGCTGTAAAACGAAGCTGTTTCTCCTTGCCCCGTTGGAGCTCATTTTCATTCCCGCCCGGTCAATGCACGGCTTAGAACACCGAACGGCAGTCATGCGGCGGCTAATCGTTCGGTGGAGAAACTCGTCTGCCGAGCAGCCGCGGCAGATGTGCAGCGTGACCTTTTCCGGGGCATTTTCCCGGCATCTGCCGACGCCCATTAGTGGCGTCACTGTAACAGTGCTAATCGGCCTACCGTGGCCGCCCTGCACAGACCCAATCAGAGCGTGCCGCGGATAAAGGGAATCAGTAACCAACATAATTACCGGGTAATGAGTGGGTCTGCAACCAATGGCTATAAATTCATCCCTCCTGAAATGCGATCACACCGGGCATACTAATGATCCAGCGCGCAGCTGCGACCTTGGTCCGTTTAAAGGCCTGTTCATGTTATACAATTACGGCGGCGCAGAGGCGCTGGGAGGGCCCATTCGGTCACGCGCACACTGTTGCTCTATGTGGACGCGTCATTAGCCGGTCTGGCGACTCACGGTCGCTGCCGGCGGACATGATACACGGGACGTGATATGGGTGGTCCGTGCCGACACGGAATCACAGCGGCACGGGCGGCACGGGGCCGTTACAGACCCCCAGTCGAAACGGACGGACCAGCCTCTGCAAGAACCTGCAGAGTACAGATCCATCGTTAATTGTCGCTCCGATCCACCGGTTGCTGTGTTTTATTTGTTTTAACACGAATGAAATAGACCCAAACGGAACTGGATTCTGTCTGGTCCCATTCAGGGTGCCACTGTGACTGGTAAGGAGGTTCAATAGTAGCCAGTTGGCGCTGGTCTGACTGGCCAGGAAAGTGTTAACCAAACCGAAAGGTGTTAGGTGGAGACCAATTTGGTCAGGGCTGTATGGCGAGCGGTCCTGTTTTCCAGGAGCAGTCGAAGGGAAGTGGCTGCAACTCGACAGCACGGTGGGTGGAAGACGTAAACAGATTATGCACTTTTCACTTACCGTATAGGCAGGTTTGTGTGAAACTGGATACGGGCCGTAAAATAGCGGTCGTGATGACAGATAAGTTCCTTTAAGTACGCGCACTGGCGGATCCAGAATGGCGGTCTTGGAGGCTGTGAGGGGTGGGGCATAACCCCAAAAAGGTTTCTCCAAGTTCCAGATGCTCATCGGATTTCGATTCCTTACGCACATCTGAGTAGTTTTAAACAATCGTTTCCTAATAAAATTGACTTAGTTTTCGTTTTATTCTCGAAAAAAAGACGGCATATTTCATCGATTTCGAGCACTACAGGGGGGGGGGGGGGGGGGCAAAAATGTACGACATGAAGACAGCCTTTAACGTGAACCAGCAATCAATGCTGGACTTGATTTAGCCGTCTGTTCAATAAAGTAAAAAAGCTAATAATTCCAGGAACAATGGCGCAGTATGATATACATGGCTGGGCATTATTATAAAATGCATTTCCAGGTACCTATTGAGAAGCGTCATTATTACAGCCTTGCGTTTTTACCAAAGCTATCTTTCTGGGCCAGAAATGTGTAGCTTGTTCGCAAATTGAATAACGCATACGGACATCAACGTTCATAATTTGCAGAGTTATTATCAATAAAAGCTAAATTACCTAAGCGCATCCTAGCCTCCGAATGAAACGACAACTATCGCTGGTCAGACGATTGGTGACTTTTAAATGACACTACCATAGCAACTATACACACGCTTCCTGTAGATCCGGCGGAAACTGAGAATGCATCCGTCCGACTCTGTTGTCAAGTCAACTGACAACAATAGCGCACGTGGTTTAGATCAGCGGCTCTCACGCCCCACGCACTGCCGGCGCACCCACATTACGCAGCTCGTGCGGGAAATGCAGCACTGGCGGGTCCAGGGGGATATCATTTGGGGTAAATGCGCCCTCCGTTACGCCCGAGCGAGATTGATGAGAATGTGCCGTTTTCTAAGATAAAAGAAAACTTATTATCTTTTATTGGGAAGAGCTAATTTGAGCTGCCAAGTAGTGCATATGGAATCGAAATCATAGCTTTTTATTTTGGATAAACTTTTTGGGACGGGTATTGGACGGGGTAGGACGGCTATTCAGCCGACTATGCGACTGTCCAATGTGCATTGTTCTCTTGCCTCGCAGCATGATGTGAAATAAATAGGCACTTCTTTTCTCATGCATTATGCAAGCTATGATAACAGCGAAGTGCCTCGTACGATGTATAGGTACTTTTTTGTGTCAATAATCTTAAATAGTTTCTCTTTTTATTCGCAAGTCTGCTCCTTTTAATTTTGGATGGACTGGCATCATGTTTCTACTTTCCGCAGGAAGCGCCCATCCGCCGGAACCGATCACTGGCCAATAGCCCTGTCCCGTGTCTGGGCTAACGAACGGTCCGAGCCATCCGCCCTACCGGAGCCCATCGGTCCCGTGTCGTCCGAATTTCAAACTATCCCTGCTCCGTCCATCACTCCTTCCTCCGCCGTCCCTCTCCGTCTCGCCTTTCGTCCCCATGTGCCAAGATGACACCGGAGGACACCCGCCTCCCCTCCCCGCCCCTCCCCAGCCGCCTCTGTCGGCCGCGCGGCTCGACCAATCACAGGCCGCACCGTCCCGCCTCCAGGGGGGAGGGGGGGGGGGGGGGGAGCGCGGCGCGCGGCCGCCGGCAGCCAGTGTGCCACAGACTCGAGCGCGGGTGGGTACGCGCGGGTAGAGAGGTGTTCGGTGGTCTACGATTTGTTTGGAAGTTATCCGCGCGGCAAACGTCTGGTCGGAAGCGAGGCCTGACGGAACGCCAGGGGAGCGTCGGACTGCAGCTACTTTTTAGGTAAGTTTGGCGACACGTGGAGCGGGTGCTGGTTTGCGGGGCCATGTTATGATACCGTGACAGCTACCGGCGCGATGTTTGCTGCAGTGTGGTGGTGCATGCGGTCTGTATAAACGATCGTCTCCACTTATCTATCGGCTGCTGAGCACCGTTATGTTTCAGCAAATGACTAGCAGGTCTGGCCAATGCGGTTTGACCGGCGGTGTCAGGAATGCCGTCGAATGAGATAACTTTACGTCAGTGTTTTTATTTGATTAGTGCGACTTAATGAGAACACACACGAAGCTTACGATACAGGATCTAGATGATGACAGTATTACTATGCATGCATGTGTCTGTGTGTTCTGTTTCAGCACGGGACGTGCAGCCTAAATTCGTAAAATTCGTAGGATATCCTGACACGGCCGAAATCGCCTCTGGCGGCAGGGCGACTACCACAAAGACGAGACGAGACGTAGGATATCCGACCGTGGCCATGAGTGTTTTACATGAATGGCTGGTTGATTGGGATTGCAATAAATAACAAGTGCTCCTACATAATATTGCTGCTCAACTTCTGCTCTATTTTCCTTACGTTCTGCACAACATGGGATTGGGAGGGATTGTCTGCTGGACATAGTTCCTCCGTCCCGTTGCCATTCCTCCGACCTCCAAGGTACCGCACGACTACCAATCTCTGCCACTACCCACTACCCACCTTCAGCCGCAGTTGACAGCTGATTGTGTGGCCCGGACCGTGGGTGGAGAGCTCATCCTTTAGGGGCAGTATTAGCCGTCACGAGGACAGCTCAGTTGGGAGCAGGGTGACTCACTCCGCCCAGCAAACTCTGTCCCAGGACACCCACAGGCCGCGGGGCATTCCAAATCTGGTTTGAATAAAGTCGGCGCGATGGGCCGAGAGGTAGCATACCACCTCTCGCCAGCGCACCTCTGTACAACATAATCGGGTTTGTGCTGCTCGGGTAAGATCTTGTTGTGGGATGTAAAATGTGATGTTATCGCAGCTTAGTTCATTTCATGGATGCTGGAGGATTTTGGTCTACGCTCATATTGCAGGCACTAAATTGTTGCAGGATCATAAAGGGATTTCTTAAAATGAAGTAATGATACGCTTGGAAAAGCTGGTTGTTGAGGGATTTCTTGAAATCGAACACGGATACGATTGGAAAAGCTGGTAAACTTCTCTGCTGTTCTTGTAACTCCAGTAGGTATGACGTGCACCTGACCTGCCACCTGTGCCTGTATCCCTCCCGTCGACCCGTGCCACCTGCGACCGTGCCACCCCGTCCCGTCCCGACCACCCCGATACCGAGTCTTCCCGTCCGCCCTCCCTGTGTCCGAGCCTCGATCCGTCTGTGTCACTTGCCGGCCAGGCGAGGTCGAGTCGTGCGGCCCGGATTCCGTCTGACCCCAACTGTCACACTACCCGTCTCGGCCGGGGCCGGCCTGTCCGTCTGACTTTGTCTCTGTCTCCGTCTCTGTCTCCGTCTCCGTCTCTGTCTCCGTCTCTGCTTGTTTTACCGTCTGCACGTCCGTCCGTTCGTCTCCGTCCGTTCGTTTGAATTTGCGTCCATCGCCGTTTATCTCCCGTCTCTCTCGGCCGTCTCCGCCTTCGCTTTTCGTCCGTTCGTCTCCGTCAGGTTCGTGATTCCGTCTCCGTCTCTGCTTGTCTCTGTCTCCGTCTCTGTCTCTGCCTCCGTCTCCGTCTCTGCCTCTCTCTGTCTTTGCCTCTGTCTCCATTCCTGCATGTGTCTCGGTCTCCGTCTCCGTCTCTGGCTGTCGATTCTAGTCCGCCGCGCAGACCGAGGCCGGTCGTCGCTGCCGCCTGCGAGTCGCTCTTGAGAGCGCCTCTTCTCTGACATTTGAATACAATGGGCGGCCTGTCGCAGCAAGAATACGATATTAGGATGCGCGGTGAAAAGCGATTTGAGTGTATTGACATAAGCTGTAAGAGGCTGGAGCGTGCCAACAAAGCAAGGTAGGCGGACCGGCCGGCCGGCCAGACTGGGCTGCCGCGTCTGAGGAACCCAGCTGAGACTGGCCGACCAGCTGGGTCAACGGAGTTCATTTTATTCATACAGCTCTTCTTTATAAAACGTTTAGGAAAGCTTTCGTTTTCACGACTTTTCGCGACTTTGCGCGTTTTCGCACGACTTTGTGATGGTGCAACCATAAGTTGAAGTGTTATTCCTTACAACGTTTCCGACTTCCTTCGGAGGCGTTGTGGAGACGGCGGTTCATGAGAGGCGGCCTCTGAGGCGTGAACGGATCCTGCCACTGGGCTCTAACCGCACACCGTGCACCTTGTCCTTCCTTTATCCCTTCATCGCGCTAGGGCGGTCACTGAACAAATCGGCAATGCAAAGCTCACACCTGGTGCGAGGAATGCGACCAGCATCCACCCAACATTCTAAGAACTGGTGACGACGGCTTGATCAGCATCATGACGTGCCTTTTCGTTTGGCCAGCGGCGCGCGCGGTGCCTGGTACAGCACCTCGGCAGGGTAAGCCAAATCCAACCCGGCTGGTACTGTGCACAGACTATGCACAATGGACAGAGCGGCGCACACAGCCTCGGTCGGGGTAAACAGTGATTCGGTTTTGCTGGTCCTGCTCTGCAGCTGCTGGCTAGTCGGTGCAGACGTTGAGCCCGGCCGCCTGAGCCTGCTCTGACCTTGTGCGGGCTTCGTCCAGAGGGATCGGTGGGTTTAGGTTTAACCTGCGCAGAAATAGAGCGGAGGTCAGCGGAACTTCCGACGCCGAGTGAACTGGAGCTGGTGAAATCAGTTAATGGGGCAGTCAATCAAAGAGCTTGAGAGTTTGAATTCAGATTTTGAATGAGTTTGAATGAGTTCAGAGTTTGAATGAGGCCTGCTTGTTACGCCTTTTATTCACAATACCACCAAACGCGATTCTAATTAACTTTCAAAGTAAGCCTTTTAAGTGATCACAGTACCCAAAATCCAAATGTAACAAAAACAATGCAGCGCACGTCTTATTCACTTCAACTTATAGTACCCACATATATGTAGAGCCCCGTACTACTGCAACTATGCAACACAGCAGCGCACTCTCGAAGCTTCAAAGCGGAGACCTATTCAGGACACGGATCGTACATCTATGTACTCCACGCCCATACCATGACGGGAGGCCGGCTCATACGCTGTGACGGGTTACACGCTTCTGCCATCATGCTCGATAAGTGTAATGTCCAGCCAGGACACCTATTCATATATGCGGAGACCTCCTCTTATCGAGTACGGATTGGATTACTATCTAGTATTCCACTGGCTGGCTGGGCTTGCAGAGCTGAATGCTGCAGGGTAGTGAAGCAGTGCGACATCCCACCAGTCCTGAGGCGACCAGGTGCGCCACCTCCCCCGCTCTCCCGTCCCCCTCCGACCCCGGAGCCATCGCTCGACGCCCGGCGGCTCGACACCGTTTACTTTGACGTCGCGCCGGGCTTTCTTTACCTTTCTGCCACCGCTGTGCAAATATACAGCCGGAGACAAAGGTGTTTGCTTACCTGGCGCATCGGAACCTGGCAGCCGGCCGGTGTGGCTCCGGGCTCGTCCCGGCGGCCCGGCGACCGGCGCTGGGAGCCGGGAATGGTGGCTGGCGACTGGCGACTGGCGACTGGCGACTGGCGACTGCTGTTGATGGCGTCGAACCTGTTGATCCGACGGATGGGGTCGGTTGTCATGTGGAGAGGAGGGGATCGTCAGGGGTGAAGGTGGCCAAAACAGGGGAGTTGGCAGGGTGGATCTGTTGCTGTCATATGTCACAGCGGCCGCTGGCTGGTGAACCTGCTCCTGCCCCGCTGTCCTGCTGGCTCGGTGGCTCGCTGAACCATCCCGCTGCCCGCTGGCTCGGTGAGCCGCCCCGCTGACTTGGTGAGCGGTCCCGCTGCCCCGGCTGAAAACTTGGCCGGCTCGCCGGTGCCGGCGGCGCGGCGGGTCTATTTCGGTCGGCGTCGGCGGGTCGGCGGCGCGTCCATCGGCCGCTGCCGGCCGCCAGCTCAACATCGACACCGGCCCGATAAATATTAGCGGCCACATCCCCAAACTGTGCCGCCTTTTTACGGCGGTCCCGAGACATAAACTGCCGGCCGACCGGCGCACCTGGCCCGGAACGGGGGGGTGCCGCCGCCGAGTCAGGGTCAGGTCAGGTCAGGTCAAAGGTCGCCGTTTGATCGCCAGCCAAGTTATGGTTTCCGCCCTCTCACACTGTCTGCCGGGAGGTGAAATGTGGTCTGTTAGCATTGGTAACTCTGTTTCTGATTCATTCATAGTTGAACCTCCCGGATTTGAAGGTCACAAGCCTTTTTCAATTCGGTTTCCCTCTGAACTTGCCTGGTGCAGTGTTCGGCATCTGCCCTTCCTACCAACGTATTCCAACGAGGAGTGAATCGTCTGGAAGCCTCAACTCTCAGTTGATCCCACTCCACATAACCCTTCCCTAAGCCAATATGGAGTCGACTCGCCTCCCTCGGTCCCCCTCATACCACCCGCTCTCCCAGCAGTCTTTGCCTGTCCACCGCGCACCGTCTCCGCCTTTCCGCCGGCCGTTTGCGGCCACTCCTCCGCTGCCTCGGGCCATACCGGCGACACATTCCCCGCCTTGCCGGCTCTCCGCACCGCCATTCTGCAAGCTGTGATCAAACAAAGGTGGCAGCGTACCCCTGCCACATTTGTATGCTCGGCACCTCCGGTGACAGGCAGCGCCGGCTCGGCTGGCCGGCCGAGACGCACTAATCGACCGCTAATTGGCTGAGCGTGGCTGAGCGATCCCGCGAACGCCGGGGTAAACCCTCGTGACCCGTGCTGCCCTCAGGGCGTGCACAATACCGCGCCAAGCGGTGACCTCCAGCCGGATAAACGCGCCCGTTTTTCTAGCCCCGGCGCGCACATTTCGACATAAACAGCGTGCTCGCAACGGTTTGGAGGCTTTTTGCGAACATGCAGCTGAATGTGCGTCGTGCCGATTGTCGGGCTTGGCTGCGCTTTAGTCAGCCGAGAGAGACTGGACGAGCTGTTTTCGGATGCTGCTCGCGATGCTCAGGTACGGTGCTCGGTCCTGCAAATGTTCCGCCCCCTCCTAGGACCGGCTAGCTGATAGCGCAGGTGGAGTGCCGCCTTACCTGTGGGCCCGTGTCATAACCATACCGGACGTAGCCATACGTATTTTTAACTGACGCACTGTAAAACAATGCAAGATGAAAGTTGGTTCAAGGCCTCAAAGTGACAGGCAAAGGTGTTCAGCTGTAGTGTTCTGCTGAGTCACGAATCGTCCGTCGTGAATGATCTGATATATTTGGTCCGTCAACAGAAACTAGTTCCAAATTAGACAAATTTGAGTCGATGGTCCGGCCATGCAACCGTCGATCTTCGTGAACCGGGAAAGTGTCGACTGTCCATGATGTATGATGGCCGAAATGCTCTTTAACCATCGCGCGGTCGATCTCATCGATCTCAATAGCTCGAGTCGTTCTCATGAGGAGCGTCCAGAGCCATTGCTACCGTGCAGCGTGCACGCTCTCCAGTGATCTCGCCTTGACACTGTCAGTACCGCTGCGGCCGAGTCTCCTGCAGGCTAGCTTTGGTCACTGTGGGCGTGATGGGCACGATTGGCTCTACGTCGATTGTGCTCTGACATGAGCTGGCTGACTTCGCTGAGCTGCTGCTGTTGTGACCAAGACACCCTCCCGAGGTCGTGGAAGGCCGCGGCGGTACAGCCCCAGTTCCCACGGACCTTTTTGTTGAGATCTGTCAGCGAGGCACCTCCAAGAAAAAGTGACGGATGGGAGGATGAGAGGAGGAGAGAAGAGGGAAAGTGTGTGGCGAACGTGAGCGCGCAAAATCAAACAGAGTTTCGCGGATGGTTTATGAAACCGATTACGCTTTGACTTGTGCGATTCGAGAGGGCCTGAATAAGAGTCTGGCGGTAGGAGAGAGCGGTTTGGCGAGCGTCCTGCATAAGCAGCTTTGCAGGAATGCCGCGGCTGGCGATCGGCGCCGCACGGTCGACAGCGAGTGGTTTTTGCGCGCCGCTCAAAATCGCTTGTCATGAATTCCAATTGTGTGTCGAGGTGTCTGGCCGGCCGACTGGAGCGCGAGAGAGGGTGAGCCGTCAGCTCTGAGCCGCGCCGTGACCCCGGCCCCGTCAGCCAGCCGACACAGCCGATCGGCCGGCCTGTTGACACACTGAGCCGACTGCGGACTGCTGAGGACTGCTGAGCAGCCGCGCAGCCGCAGGAGAACGCAGGAGAACGCAGGCGGACGGAGACGGACGCAGGCAAACGCAGGTGGTGAAGGCCGCAGTGAAGGCGTATCCTCTCCTTCAACGCACGCGAGAGGATGCAGGATTTTGAAGAATTACGAGCCGACATTCCTCTGAATGCAGATGCGTGATGACGAACTGCTGGTCTTTTCTTTCCCACGTATTCTCCTTCCGGGGCGTATCTCGATGCGCGTGTTTTGTTATGATAACCGTATCAATTTATCATTACTCCCGCTCCTTTTCATATTTCGTTTGCGCTCGCCTTTTCACTGTCTAATGGTGATCTAGAAATAACAAATACCCTGGCGGGGCGGCAGATGTTTCCGGTTTTCTCAGAGGCCTTACATAGTCAGCGAGCACCTCTGTGAATCGCTCAACCGGAAGGGACGGCGTATATAAAGGGATCATTAAGATGAATGGCTCACCAAACAGAACAGGTGGCCCCAGAAACTCGTTATATCAACAAAGCGGAGCCTGCTACCGACAAAGAGTCGTCCGGTCTTGGATGAATTTTCTCTCTTCATGCATTGGCTCAGAGAAACCAGATCTAGTGTGATTCGAACCCAACCGCTGAGCTCCGCTATAGGCTCTGTGTCGTGATATGAACGGTCGAGAAACCGTCACGCTGATTCTATCGACTCATCGGCGTCGCTGGGACCGCACATCATTTTCCCGGCCTGCTGCTGTCTCTGTGCTGCTCAGTATACAGTTTCATGCATTTAGAGGCACGAAAACAATTATCTGATGCCGGTCAGTGGTCTGCAAAGGTACCGGAGTCCATGCCGGTCGACTTGGGGATGTATTGCCGGCATTTTATTCCGACGGCTCAGTGTGATGTGGTCACGGGTATCCACTACCGATTTGTTCTTGTCAGCCGCGGCGCCAACAGGTGCCCTGCCTAGTGCCTACTGCTCTCATCCGTCTGACGACGGAGCCGTATTCGGCAGGGCCACTTTTTCGAAGATGCATAGTTAATTGCAGTATTGCGCAGTGAATCATTGACCTTGTTTCGAATATCGCCTCAAAGACCATCTGTGTGCTCATTCCTGGCTTGATGTACCGCCCCGCTGAGAGCCCTGCGCCTGAAGGTGTCTTTCAAAACAATGCGTGCTTATTTTTACGACACTACCGACCACGTTCCTTACAGACGTCGTCAGTCACGGTAACCAGAGACGGCGCAGTAAAAGGCACGGCACCGCGCCTGCTCACCATGGCCTACCGCCGGCACATGGCCGATTCGATGGTCCGAAATTGGCGTAACTCATCGTCTAAATGACGCCCCGTCGGCTGATCGGAATCGAAACGAACCGCGCCGCTGGACTACGGTCAGATGTTGCATTCGCCGGCCAGAGTTATGTGCGACCACCGCCGCCGCTCCTGCTGCCTCCTGGGTCGGTGCTCCATTACACCGTGGCACGTTTAGCGCAGGTGTTCGGCGTCTTCAAATGCCGGCTGTTGTGACGCTCCTTCACACTTTGATCTTGCAGTGTGCGGTTTAGCGATGGTCCACTGGCTGGTTTCGGCAGATGAGTGGTTCCACACTGAGCTGAGGTACTTCAGTCTGTGCAGAATGCCGCCCTGTTACGGCTTTCATCCGAGACCGAAACTCACGGCGGTTGACAACCGCAGACATTCCTCTGCGCTTCAGCGAAGGGCTAGACGTCTTCAAAGCGATTCGTCCGCCATTTCACAAGTCCTGGAACTACCTGCGCTTGCCGTTTATGGCACGAAGACACTGTTGCCGACTCCGCTCACCTCAACTCCTGCTCGTCCGCGGCAGTGACTCGTTAGGGTATCTGTTCAGGCATGTTCGGAGCCCACCTCAAACAGCTATCGATGCCACAACTCTACTCCTTCATGCAGTCTTTGTCCGACTTTGCATTGGAGAACGACCTGGTGATGTGCTGATACATGTTCTTCGACTTGCTGTTGACCCTCGACAAATGTGTCTGCATTTATGTATTAATACGCGCTCATGTTCTGGGTGCAGGGAGGGTTGGGCGGAGTGGTGGACGCCAGATGACCTCCATTTGTCGTCTGAGCTCTGCCGACTGGCGCCTGCCGGGTCTCATGGCGCTGCGGCCGGCCGACCGGCCCAAGGTGCCGCTCATTGCCCAGCATGATAGTGCGATTAGACGGCGCTGCGCTCAGCTTCCTGGATAGCGGCGGTTGGAGCTAGGGACCGGTGGATGCTGAACGATGGTCAGAGGAAAGCTGTGGTTAGCGGAGGGTTGCCTAGCGGAGCGGAGAACAGAGACCAGCGGACGGCCGTTTGCGGTCAGCGAAGAGCAGTAGCGGTCGTTCGGTCAGCGGTCCGAAGATTGGCAGTTGCTATTGACGAGCGGTGCTGCTGGCTGTTGTCGGCAACTAGCACGGGTGTAAACTCCGTTATGTTTCTGAAATGGGATGAAGGCTGTTTCGAAATAATTGCCACGCCTTCTGTTGAGTTTAACCAGCTGACGGTCAGCTATTCGACCTTCAGGTCAGGCCTTGCCCGGGGCGACTGGCTTCCGCTGCTAAACAATGCAACGCTGGAGGCTGATAGGCTGGCCTCTGGTTCTGAATGTTGCTATTTAAAGGCATGTACGAGCCTTGAGCATGCAATATAATAGGACTTCTGAAAGTAGTGATTGGAACCAAATAAAACTATAGATTTGTTAATCCCTTTATTCATCAATCGCATCCTCTACCCCTCCATCCTCGCACTCTTATTCCTCCCTCTCTGCCCCAGTTCCTCTCAGTCCCCCGGAATCCCAAGCTCCCACGCCGCCGCAGCCTCCCTCCCCGCCCCGCCCTGCCTCCCGCTCGGCCGCCTCTGACCTGCCAATGAATGGGTTGCGTGCCGGTCGGCGGCTTCCGACCGCGTCACGCCTCTGATAACGGCCCGGATGCTGCCAAGTGCCAGTGGCCGCCCCCGGCTCTGCCCGCAGCACCCGCCGGCCGGCCGCTCCTCTCACTGTGGGAAGACACGAGCCGGCGGTAATTGGGCCGACCGGAGAGGAGACCAACCAAGTGGGCAGTTAGCGGCGGCCGGCGCGCTCGTGGTCCGGCGCACTGCTGATTGCGAGGCCGGTGATTGTATCGCATCAATGAGCGTCATAATTTACCCGATACGATTATAGAAAGGCTGATAACTGTCGGCGGACGGTCGGTGGGCTCTGTTAATAATGGGTGCCGTGGCTCTTCTTCGTTTCAGGCGCCTCACATGCGGGCGGGATGCGGCTGCTGTTGAGGCTATTGTGCTGCTGCTTGGCGCTGGCTGCCGTCACTCTCGCTGCCCCAGGTGAGTCCGTGAAGCGACGTCACGGGGGGGGGGGCAACTTGTCACAGAAGGGGAGGCATGCGATTAAATTGGGTATGCGATATGCTCGTCTACTACCAGGTCTCATACGACAGTTGACCGACATGTCATTAAGCGTCACATGCACCCTTTTGGGCGTGTCACGAAATCCGTCACGCTGGCCGCCTGTCACGGCGCCGGTGTCGCGGCTGTGTCGGACCGGTGTCGGGCCGACAATCCGCCGTGTCTCAGACACGAGGTGATGAGCTCGAGGCGGCGCGGATCTGGTCCTGATAGCCATCTGATGAGATCACGCCGTTTGTATGTAAAACTATTCCGCCCAGCGCCGGGTTATGCTGGCTCGTACAGCCGCATCCCCAACTCATCCCGTGGTGTGAGTCGGGTCCGCGATCCGCCCCCTCCGTATCTCAGCCCGACCCGACCGCCGAGCGGCCGCGGTCAGCGCTGATGATCCTCAGAGCACCCACAGCGGCCACCAATTTGTAATTGTAATATGAGCGAGCAGTGCGCGGCGCGGGAGCGGCGTGAAGCGGCGCAGAGTGGCGCACGGCGGCGAGGAGCGGCGCGGCCCTTTGTTTATCGCTGGCCGGTACTTCATTGTGGGTGATGGATAGCCGGCTGTATACCGCTGGGGAAGCGGCCCGGGCACACGGGCCGCCTGTCACGCGCCCGAGCCCGGACGGCAGCGCGCATTGCATTATTCACCGGACAGCTCCGGCACACGGACGAGGGAGGGAGGGAGGGAGATCACGGACGGATCTGATGGGACGGTGAGGTCACCGGTCATCGGTCACCTGACAGCCCAACGGTCACCAAGCAGTGGTCAATGCAGCTGCTGCAGAGTATCTTCTTTACATACAGGAATTCTCTGATCGGTCGCCCCGTCGTGCTCCGTCCCTGCATCGAATTCTATGCTCATCCAAATATAAATACTACATTACCAACGATTCTTGGCAAAAGCCTTACGTAGCTCTTTGTTCTAAAGCAAAATATGTTATTTGCGAGAGACCCAACTAAACCTTTTGCTGGCGAATTTCATAACTTGCGAATTGTCGCCCCCCATAGACCAAAATGGGTCCCATCTGTCATAGGACGACTGCCGTCCGCCACCTCAGATCACCTACCACTGCGACCGGCTACAGAAGCCGGGCAGAAGAGACCAATTATGGAGCTCCACTGGCACAAAGTAAAAATGCAATATACATACTCATAGTGCCCCTCGATGCTTGTTCAGAGCATGGTTAGCGGAAGTCGTGTTGCATAGATGCAACACGACTTATTAATGCATCGAATTCATTTAATTTCGACCATTCATCCTTGTCGATTCACTGGAATCGCACCTGACACCCGGTCGCATATGTCCATTATTAATGATGTTCAGTGTAAAAATTTCTGCGACCGAAGCGGCAGCATCTCAATGCGTCTCTCCCGGAAAGCCCGTTCATCTGCATAGTGTCCTCAGACATTGACGGATGCCGCTCTGAGACCGGATTTTTGTCGATCCCCGTCTCACGGCCGTGGCTGGAGATCCCGGCTCTCCGGTTGTGTACGAGCCGCTCCGGCCGGTGTGTATGCTCGACCCATACCGAGTGGCGCGCGTCCCTGAAGCGGTGGCCGCTCCGCCGGCCGGCCCACAGAGACACACGGGTGGTCTGGGCCCTCTGTTCTGCTCCGCTGTCAGCAGCTCCGCCGCGGCGCGCGCTGTCGCCATCAACAGCTCGTAAAGCGGCCGTGCACCAATGGCAGCGCGGCCCCGCCTCTGTCGGAGCGTTCGCTGTTTATCGACTGAACAGGGTATCCGTCATTATTGTAATCGGCCATCGACGCCTGGGCATGAGCGGCCGATGGTAATTGCTCGGTTTGCGGCGGCGGCGGCAGCGCAGCCGAGAGGCGAGGGGAGGGCCGGTGTTTTTTCATCGCGCTGTCGGCCGGCCGCTCGCAGGGCCGTCGTGCTAATTTATGCCGACGTTAATTGGGTTGGGTGCCAAAGCGCATAGGCGAATTCCGTGGCGGCGAAGTGAGAGCCGGTCTAATAGGTGTCTAAGCTGCCGGCTGACTAGCGATCCAGGAGATATACAGCGATCCCGCGAGAGGGCATGTTTGCGTGGACGTCAGGTGAACGTTTAAACAGAAAAAAAGATAACGTCTCATTGTTATACCGCAACACGTATGGTCTACCGTAAAGCGATCACAATACAAATATCGAGTAACTACATATAAGAAGCGGGAATAAACTCCCGACCCTCAGATAACCGCAGGTTGTTTGAAATAGACAAACACTATTCGTTAGAATTATCATGATATAGGTTAGTTCCCAAATCGCCTGTCGGGACACCTGCCTTGTCTAGTCCCTGATTCCTCATGGGCCCGTCCCGCCGCGCCTTCCACGTCCTCCCAGTGAGGGGGCCTCTATCAGCGGCACTAGGGGCCGCTGTCAGCGCGCTGGTTTTAGGGTTATCGTCACCCTTGTCTGCTGGCGAGTTAGTGGCACCATAACAGACGCTACTCGGTCATAGAGGCGCAGCGCTGCGGCTCCATCTGCTCCTGGCCGGAAGGACACGGAGGTGCTGCGGTGTTAGCTCCTGACGGTCACCCGGTCACTGCAGTGCTCGGCGTGCTACCGAAATCCCCAGAGGGTTGTCTGTTTGGTGAGGGCATGCCATAAGTAGTTGTAGAATAATACGCTCGCTGCTGATCGTGAGCTGACCTCTAGAAGCCCCACCTCAGGTCGGGGTCACCCGGCCACCCGGCCGCGCCCCGGGGTCGGCCGGGCGAGTGACCTTTGACCTGGCCCAGCCTCCGGCGGTGTTCCTGGAATGGTGCGCGGTGGTGCTGTTTCGGCGGAACCTGTGACGCCAGTCGGGACGGGCGCGCTGCCAGGTCCCCTCCCTCTCCCCTCCCCTACCCCGCCCCGGGCTGTCCGAGGCCGGCCAACTCGGCGCCCACGAAGCTGTGCCCCCGGGCCGATTCAGCGGTCCCAGAAGTCGCTCAGGGGTCATGGCTGACCGGGTGACCGGTGACATTTGGATGATTTTCCGAGGAACTGTGACATTTGGCAACGTAAAGCAGGTGACATCGGGCTTTTGAAACTGGGAATGATGTAGAGGTCTATTTCGAAATGACTGACCATGTCATGGTTTTGACATTTCGCATTTTAAGACCTTTCCTGTTTCATGAAGAGTCTGCCGCTTTGCAAAGGTCATCTCCACCCAGGTATGAAATTCATGAACTTGCAATATATTTAAAACTCGCATCCCACTTTTGGTTACCCTGCGTTTCCGTTCCTCATTATACATTCTGCACCATAAATTGTGCAATTACTTTCGGGATAATTGTCGTGTATTTGCGTTGGTGTTGCAGCCTACAAAGATGAGGAATCGGCCATACATTTCGGACGGTAGCTAAAGCGCCCTTATTATCAACCTTCTCTGGGAACCATCATCTTTATACCCGCCCAGGCCATTCATTCTGCAGGATTCATTGAACGTGAGCAGGATTCATTGAACTTGTAACAAGCACAGTTATCTCTGCGGGGGCCTCCGGGAGATGTAGCATCATCAGAATTGCGCGTGAAGTGCGTAAAAAGGCCATCACGGCGCCGGGAGCCCGACAGGGCGTCTTTGATAGTGCGGAGGGCCGCGGGGCCGCGTTATGGATGGGAGCCCGGCACGACACTCTCCAGAGCCGTCCGAAAACTTCCGGCGCACCGACCGGTCCATTCCAGCGAGCCCGGCGACGAAAACATTCGCGCTACTGTGTCGACGCATCCCCTCCTGCGCCGACTCCCCGCGGAGACGTGACGCATGCCCTGGGGAAGGGGAGGGAAGGGGCACCCAGCTGGGGAGGGGTGATTCAGGGTCTACCCCTGCTCTCAGCCGGCGCAGACCGGCGCACCGCACCCGTCTTCTGTTTCAAAGCTGCGCCTCTCCGGCGGCGGGTCGGCTGGCGGTGCGCTGGCGCCACATGCTCATTGCTCGCGGCTGGTTCCCGCTAGTGGCTCCTGTAGCCGTTCCCGTTTAAACGCTAGCCTGCTGCACGGCTCGTGGCGTCACGGTGTGTGGGCGAGTGTGCCAGGTTAGCCTGAACGTGGCCGAGTCGGGCGGCGCTGACCTCCAGCGCCGCTGACGCTGAGACTTGCAGCTGGGACGGGACGGTGCTCGCCACTCACCTCCGCTGAGCGGTTTCTCTCTCTCTCTCTCTCTCTCTCTCTCTCTCTCTCTCTCTCTCTCTCTCTCTCTCTCTCTCTCTCTCTCTCTCTCTCTCTCTCTCTCGCACGTCCTCTGCCCGTGACACGTTCCCTGTCCCCTGTCCCCTCACGTTCGTCCTCGACCCCAGAGCCGGTGACGCGTCTGCGATGGACGGCGTTCCCACGCCTCAGTGCCGATGTTTATGACACTGACAAAGCGGCGCGCCCAGCCGCGGCTCGGTGTTTGTATATGTGTCGCGGTGGACAGGCGACATTGTGACACATCGATAGATGAAGACCGGATGGAGCTTGAACGCCGGATGATAGCTGCGCCACTCCCTGGCTACGAGTGTGCCCGTGTGTTTGTCCCTGTGAAGTGGTGGATAGTCGGATATGCGGATAGCTTTGGATATGGATAACTGAGATGGCCAGATGTACGGTCGGACGAAAGATCCCAACTGATCCCAACTAAGGCCCGTATTCCTGGTGGAGGGTCGTCGTGCGGGAGATATGATCTCTTAGCGCGGCGTCGGTGACAGCTGCCGGTGTGGTCGGCTGAGCACTGGGTGGTCTGACCCGGGTGACCGGGCCTCATGTGACCCGTGACTGTCAGCTCTGGCCTGCCGCCACCACCGCCTACGGGTCACCACTCTTCGCAACCGTCACCGCTACCGCCTCCTGCCACCACCGCCCACCTTCTGCCTTTGTCGCTTCCACGGCCATCACCCGGTGGTGTCAATCGAGTCGCTCTCCGGCGCCGCGGCGACCCTCTCCTGGCCGACGCGCGTTCCTCGCC